GTTTTGTGCACTTGCAGGTGATTACATGAGATGAAGGGCAGGAATGAACCAAGCTTGGCTTATCTGACTTCTTTCTGATCACATGTGGTTGATGGAGACCTGTGCTGTAACTTGCTTTGGTCAGGACAGTTCCCATGAATCAAGCTCTCTGCTCATGTGCACAGCTTTCCTCAGCAGTGAATGAAGTGCAGCTGGCTCTAAACACAGCTTGCACGTCTGCAGACAGCAAAGACAGGGCTTGCTTGAAGAATGTGATTTGCTTAAGCGCTTTCTGCTCCACCAAGATGGAACATCCTTCATCCTCATCTCAGTTACTGGCTTAGTACCTCATTGCTGACGTGGCACCATTCTCCTACTGTACATTTTCCCCATTGCCTTTGTCTCAAGGTTTGCTCTAGCATCAGATACAATCACAAAATCACAGAATGTTAGGAGTTAGAAAGCACCTCAAAAGATCATCCAGCCCAACCCCTCTGCCAGAGCAAGATAACCTAGACTAGGTCACACAGGAACGCATCCAGGCAAGTTTTTAATGTCTCCAGAGAAAGAGACACAACCTCTCTGGGCAGCCTTGTCCAGTGCTCTCTCACCCTCACAGTAAAGTAGTTTTTCCTTATCTTCAAGTTGAAACTCCTATGTTCCAGTTTGCTCCCATTGCCCCTTGTCCTGTCATTGGCTGTCACTGAGAAGAGCTTGGCTCCTTCCTCCTGACACTCGCCCATTACAAATTTAGAAACATTAATGAGGTCACCCCTCAATCTCCTCCAAGTTAAAGAGACCCAGCTCCCTCAGCCGCTCCTCATAAGGGAGATTATGCTTCTGCAGATGCTTTCACCTGAGAGCAGTTTACATGAAATGATTGTAACCCTAAACATGTGTGCCAGCATTTTGGAGGCAGCATAATTAGCTTAACGGTGCACCTGGTTCAGCCACCAAATGCAAGACCTGCTGGCTGGAATGTTACTGTGGCTAGAATGGTATTTATTTTGCTGGCAGCATTCAGCTGACAAAACATAACTCTGACTTTAGAGAGGATGGGACCTCTTCAATATTAGATAAAACCACAAAGATAAAAATCACTAACTGCTCCAGAGGTTCCTGTTTCTGAGCAAGGTTGTGTTTGTTTACTGAAATCTGGTCCAAATGCCAACTTTTTCTAGTATTGTGAAAGGGAATAAGAACTGTGGATAATGCTTTCATTTATTTTTCTTTTGGGAGGGGCCAACATAATTCTCCAGAGCTGTGAGCTTTATTTTTTAAGAGCCACATATATATTTATATATTTTATACTTTTCAATAGAAAAAATGATGGCAGTCATAACACTTGATTTTCAGACATAAACCACAAATTTCTCAGATTCTCAATAAAACTTTTTAAATGTAGTTCATGCTTGTATTTCATTGCTGATCTTACCACAAAAATAAATAACTGCTCTCTAAAGATTGTCTGTTTTTTCCAGTATAGAAATACTGAATTTCTTTTGTCCAGATATGCTACATATCAGTCTCCACAGGCTCCCGTGGAAGATGATGGTTTCTTCATGGTTCAATTTACAGCCAGCTGCTTAAGATACACTGGCATCTCTCATACAGTGTTCCTGTTCTGTGGCCCTTCTTTGAGGATCTTACTAGAAAAGTATAGGGATTTGGCTAGCAAACTCTACACTTCTCTTTCTGTTTAATACTGAATTCCAGTGAAATCACGTTATCCACATTAGGTAATGTAGGGAGAGATCCTGGCTGTAATAGGACACAGTGGATACTCTGTCAACTTGATTCCTGCCTCCTGAATGTGCGGTTGTAAGTGATACTGTACTATTTTGATTACATTTGTACAAACCAAAGAGTTGTCAATCAGTTTCAGAAAGCATTAAGCAATTCAGTGCAGATTTGTTCATGGATTTTGGTGGCAAGATGGTGCTGGGGCTAAAAAGTTAATAAAATAGTGAGAAGTAAACCAGGGTATAAACACTTATTCTTAGAAATATAAGCTGACCTTCAAATGTTCCTAAACATACAAAAACCCGACAAAAGGAAATAACGGCTGTACCTGTGACAGGTACAAACTTAACCTTTGATCCAGCTAGTTAAACAGTATAGACGTCCTGTCAGTCACAACAGCAGTGGCCTTGAAGTTTCCTATCTTAACAAGAATTTTAGCAAGCACATATGGAATTTAATGGAGAAACCACTGTGGGAGACTCCAGTGAACAATGTGCCTGCTTGTTTTTGAGAGCAGAAGTTGAAAGAGTAAAGAACTCTTGACTTTTAAAACATTTAACAAGAGGACTTCTGATTTAGCATGGCAGTATCTGTGGCCTGCTGCCTGATAAAAGCAGCAAAGGCAAAGCTGACATGGATACGGGATGTCTCAGCCTGCCTGCATAAGATCTTACAGGGCCATGCACTGAATTGATCCCATAGCTGTGTTCTGTACCCCAGTTGAGACACTGGTGCTCCCGATGACTTTTGTGTCACGTAAATTCATGACATCCTGGGACAAGCAGGTATTTTGGATTTCTGAACATTCATGAGTCTTCATAAACGCTTATGTCCCGGTTTGAGCTAAACAAACTCACTCTCTATTTAGTGACTTTGCTTTTCAGCCAAGTCTCTTCTGAGTGACTGTACTTCCTGAAACTAACAGGGTGTTTTTCCAGACAGTGTCTGCTTCTACAAGTGATAGTGCCTGATGTTTATAGTTACTGTTAAGTGTGGTATGTAAATATAGCTCTTGCTTATACTTGTGCCTATGGAAACTAAGGCAGATGCCACACCATGGGTGCCATATTGGGGTGTCATGAGGTGTCACACCTGCAGGGAGGAACAGACAGGACAGATGGCCAAAACTGACCAACTAGGTATTCCATCCCACATACATCATACTCGGTATAAAGCTGATGGATTTTGTCTGCCTTTGATCCTGATCTGCGTGTTCCTGAATCCAGCTCCCACCTGCTGCCAAGTCTGGTCTGAGATTTTTCCAGTGCCCTGCACTGCAGAACTTCTGTCAACATAATCATCATTGGGAGCAGGGGGAAGGATTCAATATTGGTTTTGTATGCATTTGTATATATTTCATTTTTTTCTATTTACATTATTAGCTTATTGTATTGTTGTTTCATTAAATCTGATTTAGTTTTCTTTTCCAACCTGTAAGTCATTCTCTCTCTCTTCCCCTTCTGGGGAGTGGAGAGGGGTTAATAGAGAGCGTCTGTCAGTCATTTAGTGGCCAGCCCAGCCCTAAACCTCAAGAGTCGCTTATTTTAACTTGAGGTAGGCCTTTGCTTTTGTTCTTAAGCTAGGGACCAGCTCCAGTTCTTCTAGGGAAAAAAAAGTGTAGGCAAATTGTAGCCTGGACCATAGACTAAAAGACAATCAAATAATTGCTGGTATAGTAGACTCAATTCCCATCTTCTGTAGGCCATCCCTTTAGCTTACTTTGATTATACTGATGACTAACACCACTATGAAACCTGCAGTGACTTCAGGGCTGGTGATAACGCTGTGATGAATCTTTGGGTATGGCTAGTAGAGCAAGCTTTCTTCACTGCCTCTGCTAAGTGTAGCTAATTGTACTTAATATTCACTTAGAAAGGAGAGTTACATGGAAAAATAAAAATACTCAATGTAGTTCTGAAAATACTGAATTACTTATATTTGAGATCCTAAAGTAACAAGGAAATCAAAAAATTGTTTATTTTAACTGGAGAAGTGCATGAGTTTATTATTAGGACTAAAAGCAACATTTTTTTAAATCCAGCTAAAATTATTGATATAAATAGGCTGTAATAAGCTATGCTAGATACAACATAAATGGGAATTAAAGGCAGAATGTTACAGAGACAGAAAGCTGGAGAAATGAAGATAACTAATTCTTCAAATATATTAAATGCAAGAAGGCTACACGTTGCTTTCTTTGGTGTATTGATTCTTGTACTTGATCTTGCATTGACTCAACTGAACGCAAACACTTTAACACAGAAACATTATTTTACAGTTGAAGGCATATCCTCAGATAGACAGGTTCTGCACAAAAGCAGGACTGCATGTAAACTGGACTTAAAACCAGAGAGTTCTAAAAAAGAACAAAGTCCCTGGTACATATTTTGACTTTATCTACAGTGGCTAAATATCTCCGTGTTTTCTGTAAGTGTGCAAAATGGTGCATGCAATACCACATCAGCTATCAGATTAAGAGCAGCAGGAAAGTGCCACTTCATTGCATATACCTAGTCATGATTATTTTGTACAGGGCATGTACCAACACTGAATAAAAATCTCTGTCAAAAGTCAGTGTTCTACTCTGAGTGGGAGGCAGAGTAGAAAAGAGTCATTTCAGGTGGCTTATCGGGACACTTGTTCAGAAGAGAGGTGACTTTTGTGGAACAGATTCTTCAGCTGGATACCTCTTATGCTGGAGAAAATTATCACAGTGGCTTCTGAAAACTTCGCTTAACTCCAGTGGATTTTCTAATGTTGTCAAGGACTCTTAACTGAGACTGAGATAAATTTAGGTACAATGAAATATTTGCCTATCTACAACCAGTAGACTTGCACGATCAAATAGATAAATTGTTCTAAACTGAAATTACACTATGGAGATCAATACCATCAAGATATCAAGAGGATATTCAAATAGAAAACTCTCCCCAGCTATATTGTGCTTTTCAATTAGCACCTTCCTTCCCAGGAACTCAAAGCTCTTAGTATGTTAATACTAATGAATTTAGCCTCACAACATCCAGTGAGGTAGGTAAGTTAACCCCCATTTCACAGATGGGAAAACTGAGGCAGAATTCTGAAGTGACTTGCCCAAGGTCCTGCAACTTGTCAGTGGTAAGACCAGAAATATGTTTTCAGAAGTCCAGATCCCAGACCTCTGTCCAATTAAAGTCCCTACTACCACAAAGCAAGCAATACATGCAACTTCGTTTCCTCCTAGTGCTGCCGTAGTCCTGGTGATGTAGAGGAAGTGAATTATTTTTCCTGACTGAATTCCCACTTTCTTTGGCAAAAAGCACCTGGTTTTGTCAAAGTGCTATATGATGCTCTTCGCAGATGTGTTTCTTGTGAGGCACTATAGAAAAAAAGATGAGTTCCCCATGGCAGGGAGACTGTACAGGTCCAAACAAAGTAGAGTCTTATTTCTTGCAGAAGACCTGCTGCTTGGCATTTTTCACACGTTGTTCCTCCTTCAGGTTCTTCTGCCGTGCATGTTTGCTGGAGATGAGTTCCACGTGTTCTGAGGGGAACCAGCCTCTCTCCCTGTCTGAAAGTTTTACTCCTTCCATCCATCCTGCAGTGTGGGGAAAAGCAAAACATGAGGCAAAACAATAAAACATATTTTCATATTTCCCAAAATGCCCTCTCCAACAAGGCCTCAAGGTCAAAGAAAAAGATCCCCTTTCAGCTTCCAATTAAAGTGTCTTAATGAAGATGAAATCTCTTCATCCTCTCAATGCAACAATGGGGATTGAGAGGCTCGTCTGAAGCCTAATTGTGTTGTTAAAGCTTTACACTACTAAATTCCTACCCATAATTGAAGATAACCATGGTTCATTCTGCTCACCATCATTGCTGTACTGCATAACCATGATGATATCTGCTTTCTCCAAAGCCAGCTCATCATTTTCCCGAGCCTTGTAAGTCTTTATGCATTGAACCTGTGGTGCATCTAAAGGGGAGGAAAGATCACAATGGTATACTAAGACAGCAACAGTAAACCTGTGTGCATCAGCCCGAGAGGTGGGAGCGTTAAGGGAGTACCCAAACACTAAAGAGCAGAGAACTGGGAGACTTCAGGTATTCTACCTAATATGAGGTGTAAAAAATAAGTAAAATAACTGGCAGAACCTGGCACTGAGGGAAAGCCCATGTATATCTTCTTTATTTAAAAAAGGGCAAAGTCTTTTCAGGGATGTCCCACCCCACGGTCACTCCAACTCCTCTCCAGACCACCCCCATTGCTGTAGCAGCAGAGCAGTCTCACCAGGACATTCCAGGAGGTCCAGTTCTCCTCGTGGAGGAGCCAAAGCAGAAATCCACCTCAGCTTCTCACTGCTGGAAAACATCACCAGATAGGGGTTAGGATTCTATGTGAGGGATAGCAGTCTGATGATGGGAATGGGGGGAGAGTGGGTGGGGTGTACAGGTTTGCTCACAGGAGGGGTCAGGGAGGAGTTTCTTAGGTGAAGCAGAAAAAAGTGGAAGTGGAAAAACGGGATGGGAAAAGGCAAAAACCTCCCATTTTTGGAGGCTGATGGTATGGTGTAATGTGGTAGTATTGTATGACCAGCTATTATGAGAGAGGAGCAAGGTGGTCCATTAGGGACTTATTTTGGTAAAAGGATGTTTTTCAAGTCCCCTGCTCAGCAGCTGCATCTGATATTTCAGCATTTGGGTAGCTGAGGGACAACCATCAGGCTCCTTGGAGGTGTCTGGCTATGGTAACAGGGTATAATGAGGGTAATCTTGAGCTCTTACTGTGTCTCTGTACGAAACAAAAACTCCACTCTCTTTCCCTGGTAATTCTGAAGTAGAAAGAGACGGAAAACATTTTTGTTTGTTCCATGCAGTTTCATCTCGCACTTCTCCCCACGCACATCTGAGAAAGCGGCATGATCAAACACAACAAAACGTCCACCCCTGCAGGTAAAGAGATGGAACAAAACAAGTTGTGAGTGTTAAGGTGATGAGGGTTACAAAGTGAGTCCACTTTGTTTTCTGAGGTCAGAAAAGCCAAAAGCTTTTAATGAGTCTTCATCTACTTCAGGCACCTTAAGCTCTGTTCTTGCTAGAACTTTCAGGCGGTCAGAGAAGAGAGAGGGGACTTAATGAAGAGGGTAGAAATACTAAGTTCTGTCCTGTCAGAATTTTATTTGATAGCTTACAGCTTAAAACCAAAACCACCCCCACAAAACCCCAACACAACCAACACCTCTCTTAGTTTCTTGACAAACCAGTGATTTGCACGTTCATTAATCCACACACTGTCCTTTAGGACGAAATTATTTACCAAGTAGAGCTAGAATAAATGGTTATCATTAAAGTGTTTCATATTATAGAGATGGAAAGGTAGAAGTGTTGCACTACGGACTAGAAGTTGTCTTGTTATATTATCATATGTTTTAATTAATTTAATGGGACTATCAGATTCCACATACTTGCATGATACATAAAGTAGGGTTAGGAGACTGACTTGATAAATGCTGCCACTTGCTGGCAGGCAGAGGGAAAGGACTCTTTCACCATAGCACAGACCCAGAAAGAGACAGGTATTTTAGAAGGGGCAGCAAGAATTGTTTTTGAAGCACTCACTCCTTCGGCCGAGACAAGAGCAGACAGTCATTGAAAAGATGTAGGTAGATGGGACGGGTGGTGACTTTCCATTTTGGACTTAGGGTGTTGAAGTCCAGTGCTGTCAACTCACCACGCTTCACAAGTCGCCTCGACTGTGAGATGAGTGGGAATATCTACAAGACAGAAATGAGCATTTATGTCAAGTGTGTACAAGGAAAACTGTGTCCCTGAGTTCTGACTTTGTATTTTTGCCTTTCTCTAGAAGAAGTGTGCTTTCATCTCTCCAGCTGGGCAGGAGTAAGTCATGGTAGGCAACTTCAGCTGAAGGCTGACACGAACGATTGGGCAAGGAAAGCACTGATGAAGAGCTGACCTGTGTATGACATTGTGCTTCAAAGGTTCTGTGTATATTGGAGAGGAGAACAAAAAGGTAAGCACAAGTGACTTTGTGAGGAAAGAAAGGAAAGACATTAAACTAGAGCAAGGCCCAGGGAATGGATGAGCTTACCTTGCACTCAAACTCAATCTTCTGGCTGAGGTAGATCAGCTCTTCAGTGCTCTTCATGCGCTGGACATTTTCATTGCAATCCTTGATGAGCTGCAGAGGAAACCAGACAATCAGTGAGGTTGGAGCAGAACTGCCTAATTGGATCTGTACTACTCCCAGGAACCCCTCAAGTGTCAGCATAAGTAACAGTTCCTTAGGCATCCTCCTGCAAAAATATTTTTTCCAGGTGAACATACTAAACTTCTCGATACATACAATAGTCATCTTTCTTTCTTAAGGAAGATATTCTTTAGATGAAGTCTCTATGATAAGTATTTTTGTAACTTGGGATACTGGGGGGGATATACTAGAGACATCTCTTTCAGGTGACAAAGGCTGAATTACTCATCATTTGGAAGGAGCTCTTATTAGATGCTCCACTGTAAACACAGGATGCTGATTAGATAAACATCAGGCCCAATTTTCCACAACCCAGAACTTGTTGCCAGTACCTGAAGAGGAACTTCAGCCTGTAACTAAAAGTTATAAGAGAGTGTTGTCCAAACATTTCTTCAACACTGTCAGGCCATGACCAATTTCCTGAGGAGCCCATTCCAAGTGCTTGACCACCCCCTCTCAGTGAAGAGCTTTTATCCTAACATCCAATCTGAACTTTCCCGATGCAGCTTTAAACCACTCCCTCACTGGACAATGGAGACACCACCCCCCTTCCTGCTCCGCCTCACGAGGAAGCTGTAGACAGCAGTGAGGACATCCCTCAATTTCCTAAGGTGAGCAAACCTGGTTGATCCTCATAAATCACACCCTCTAGTCTCACCATCTTTGTGTCCCTCTTTTGGATACATTCTTATATATTTATATCCCTCTTACATTGTGGAGCCCAAAACTGTACACAGTACTCGAGATGAGCCCACATCAATGCTGAGCTTAGTGGGACAATCACCTCCCTCAACCAGCGAGCAATGCAGTGCTTAATGCACTCCAGGATAGAGTCAGCCTTTCTGGCTGCCAGGGCACATTGTTCACTCCTATGGAGGGTAACATCAACCAAAACCCACAGATCCCTTTCTGCAGGGCTGCAGGATGGGTTGACTGCCTTACCTTTTCAAGTGCATCATATGCTTGTGTTGCTTGCACTTCCTCCTCAGATCCCGGCCGAGTTCTTTTCAGGATATTCTGCATGAGAGATGATGTTTTTCATAATGCAGACAGGGAAAGCTGGACATATGTATCTGGGAGGGGTATGAGAAACAAGGAGACACCAAGATACCAGCCTCAAAGGAGACTAAAGCAGTGGTAGGTGATGAGATGTGGAGATAACAAGGTCAGAAATGTGAGATATCAGCAGAATGTTGCTAATAAGCTGCATTAATTCAGATTTTCAGGGATGCCCTGTTCATACAAACTATGATGTACAACCACTAATCCAAGCACAAACATCCTTACATACAGGATTGTTCTTTGGTTATAATCTTTTTCTCCTGTTAAAAAAAAGGCTTAAATAATAAAAGGCATCACAGAAAGAGCTCAAAATTAAGTCATTAAGGATTTGCTGGTCCCTGTCTGGAAGATTCCTATTGGTCAACATTACAGGCAAAGAGTAGAGACAGAGTGCCTTCCAGAGGGCAGCCAAGGAACCCTTGCCTCGTTTTCCTAGCAAGAAGCCAAAGGTCAATAAAATATAAATCAACATGTTCAGAGAAGACTCCAGAAATTATTTGTTGCAACAGTACATCAGTTGTTCTCCAATAAAGTCCTACCCAGTATACAAACTGCACTGCCTCACAGAGGCTATCATTTCCAACTCATTGTGCTCATGTAATTTGTACAATGACAAACAGGTTTGTTTTTGCAAAGGTATATTCACAATATATGCAACAGAGTGGCTGCAGAGCATCTTGCCAAACTTGTCAAAGATGCAACATGAAGGACTGGATGAAGTCCTTCCACCCAGTGCCTGGAGCTAGCTCATACATGACCTTCAGACTCAAAAGGGTCAGCCTGAGGAAACTGTAGGAAAGCAGAGAATCAACAGTTACCTGTAGGAGGAGTTTGAGTCGAGTAATGCGCTGGAAAGGGAGGATGAGGAAGGATTTGAGTGAGAGGCGCTGGCATACTGGATCACTTTCCAGTCTCTCCAGGACTTGCTGGAACCCTGCATTTCCATTTCTGTCAGAGTGGTAATGAAAGAAGACATCCAGGCATCAGAGTAAATAAATAGCCTTCCTAAGTATCAGATTTCACTGAGTTTTAGGAATACTCCAGTTCCAACAGTCAGGTTTTATTCCTGGAGCAAGAGATGTTAAGAAACTGTCCCACTCTCCTGAGGAAGAGCAAGTAAGGGTTTATAATAGCTATAGAAGGACGGCAGGATAACTGTTGTTATATCTTTTCTCTTTTTGCCACAGCCCTTTGGAATAAAAGCCAGAAGTAATATCTACATTTCAATTTCTCCCTATCAACAGGGCACCTTGCACAGAGACAGTGATGGTTTGCATTCTTCCCTTACGCTGAATGATCCAGATACAGCTCTAGGGTCTGGAAACAGCTGCCTCCCCTGTCCTGCTACTCCTGAGGGAAGCTGCCTTCCTCTCCTAGTTTCTCTCTTACTCTTTTAGACCCAGCCACTGCCACTCACTTTTTCTATGTTGGGCAGTAGCAGATACAAGGCTAATGGCACGAGAGTAGCACCTGCAACCAGAAGAGTCAATCCCATATCCTTGAAGACATGAAGAAGATTGTAGGCCCAGTAGATATTGCCAACATCCTGGAGGTCCTTTTGATGGGGAACCGAGCCTTTCCTGAATGAAATCAATTGCGAGGTTCTCCCAGTCAACAGAACCCAGAGACAGTGCATGAACAGCCTGTTGGGGACAATGTCTTCTCCTGGAATCACTGTAGCTTCACTGAAATTGGGTTATTATGAGGAGAAGGAGTGCAGAAATAGCAAGGAAACCTTGCTCAGGACTGAGCCCATGCCTAAGCAATGCTTGGTTGTGCCACTGGGTACAAAAAAGAAGGGCAAGAGATGTTCCACTCTGCCACCCAGAGCAAGAGTTATCAATGGTGGCCCTAGGATTTTCAATCCTTTTTAAGGACTCCTGGATAGCCAGTTTAAGTTCACTGACAGGAGCCATAATTTTCTTAGTTACAGAATCACAGAATGGTCGAGGTTGCAAGTTTCACTTGAAATTACCACTTTCCAGCTCTTAGTAGTCTGAAAACCACAGAATGAAAACCACTCTCCAGGGCAGTAATTTTTGCTCTCTTCAGCAAATAGTAGACAGAGAGAGCAGCCTGCAATAGAATCAGGTATTAATTATTCTTTGCCTTTCCAATGCTACGGGAGAGGACCCTGCGGCAGCTCTGTCTTGCTGTCTCAAATGCCATTGAACTGAAGAAGGTCCCTGCCTGTTCTTCTGGGAGTGTAGTGTGAGCACTGGCCAACAGCCTGTACCTACTGCATTCCCTGTTATCTGAAAGAGCGAATATTCGAAGTGCACCGAAGAAGGAAGAAGGGTGTAACAAATGAGCAAACTTACAGTAACCGCTGGAAGGTTTGCTCCTGGTATGTCTGGTTTGTTACATATGGTAGATACACCCTGCGGAACTCGGGGGCATGTTTCAGAGCCACATCGCACACATGGAAGGTGAACATGTCCTCCTCAAACTTCTCCTCCAAGTCAAAGAGGAAACTGCAGCACGTGGTTGTAGTGCCATAAAACGAGGGAAATATCAGTGTCATTTAGTAAAGCAGGAACAGCCTCAATCCTCCAAAATCCTGACAGCCCACATGTAAGCACATGACAGCTCCTTACTCCTAGAGAAAGCATAATGCCTGTACAACAACAATTTAGGGCTAGATATCAAGCAAGGAAGAAGCAAAAGGCAAAAGATGACTGTACTTGAGAGGTCATACTTGCTACTTTTAAAGGCATGATCAGGAAAAAAAATGAAAATTAAGACATCACCAGAATAATCCTCCTAGTAGAAAAGAAAAAGGTAGCAGCAAACCTTACTAGCTTAGCAATATATGTAGCCAAGCCTCGCAGGAGAAAAGCAGAACAGAATCCTACAGCATACAGGATTCCTTGCATGTGGGGTCATGTCTACATTTTATGACTTATACTCAATTGATTCACATTGGGTTCTGTCAAGTAATGGCTGCAACTTAATTTTTTATTCTCCCTCTTTTTTTCTTTTTTTCATTTTTTTGGTCAGGGCTCATGCAGCTGCTTCTTTTTTCTTGTATTTGGCAGGAGCTGCATTTGGTTTGGGCTGAGGCCTAGTTAGTCAAGTTTAGTTGTAGCTGAAGCCAGTAGGGCATAGCTACAGTAGCATTTTTAATATTTTGATCTCCTACAATGAGCTCTGTGCACAATTGCGCCTTAATACTTGGGACTTAACACCAAGATTTACATTGTCCTGTCACCTAAAAAGACGAATCTTTCTTTCAAGGCAGCATTGGCATGCAATCACAAAGTCCAGTGTGTGTGTGTCTACCCTGAAGGTCAGTGAACATGCAGAATGGAGCGGGAGATGTTATTGATGGAAACGATGGGCTGTGTCTGTGTTTCATGAAGAGTGTTCGTCCTGGAAGCCATAACTCACCTGGCGCTGACATCGCGTACATCAGGAAGGCGGGAGAAAAGCCACTGACGCTCTTGATTGGTGAGCATTGCTTGGAGCTCTGCTGATCGCTGGAAGTGATCCACTGCCACATTTAAACTGCGCAGGTATGAAGCCTCAGACATTATCAACTCAAACTTGGCCTTGAGAGATGAGAAAAGGGGGCACAGCATCAGTAGACTACACAATTCTGTGAGGAATCTTCCACAGAGGAGATGGGCAAAGCAAGAGAACCTCCCAGTACATGACATAAGTAGTGTGTAATTAGAGAAGAGAGACTTTAGGAATGAAGGACAAGCATGCCATTATATAGTCTTTTCTTCTTTAGAAGACAGGCTTGTGGTATGACTTAAAAGAAAAAGAGCTACCTGCTCTCATTTTCCTTTGTATTCCCCCTCAACTCCACTTTCACTAAGTTCCGCTTTACACGCTCCCATAAGTTTTCCAGCATCCGCATAATGCATTTTTTTTCTCCATCATGTTTGGCATGCTGTTGTTTTCACCTCTTTCTCTAGGTCCTCCCATCCATGTCTCAGTGCCTTTCATTTTCGTTACCCAGTTTCTGTATGTCCCATTTTGCAGAACCCATACATCTTTCTATTTCCATTCAGTCCTGCAGCTCACACAGGTCAATCTGGTAAACTCACACTCTACCACAGGAACTACAATTCACTGTGGTTTCATTAGCACCTCTCAAAAGCTTATGTGTGGGAGAATGCTGCAAGCCTTCTATTTTAATATTGTCTTTTACAGTGAACATGCTCAAAATTCCTGGTTTTATTTCATTTCAATTTCCCCGCATCTGTTTTCATGAAGTTACTGATATGGTCCAGAGTCTGTCCTTCAGTGCTCTGTCCTTCTACAGTTCTGAACTTCAGCACTGTACTACTTCACAAACGCTGGTATCACATCCCCATGCTGCTTACATGGGTAACGGTGACCTCTGCATTGAACCCCCTGCATTCCCTCATCAGACATTTCTGCTGTTCACTTTAATCACCTTTCTGGGGATGCTCTCTTGACTACAAACCACCCATCTACCTTGTTACATCTGTCCATTACCTCTTGCAGCTTCTGCTCATCACGGGACATATTGAGTAGCATTCTGCTGCCCCGTATCATGGGGATGTCCTGCCAGAGGGACGCATTAGATGAGACTGACAGACGTTGCAAATACGAGTCCTGGGGAGACAGCACTTTCCTCCGTAGCCTTGGGGAGCTTGGGAAACTTGACTCTATATCCTCTGCGAAAGAATCCACTCTTTTCTGGCTTTGAATGGCCTTGTTTAGAACCACATCACTATACTCCTGATACAGCAATCTTGCTGTGAAAAGAGGCATACACATTTTTACTTTCCACAGCAGGAGCCCCTCTCCTTTATGCTCACTGCAAGAGTGAGAGATGATGGAGGAGAAGGGTCTGCCACAGCACTTCAGGTAGAAGGTACTTACAAGAGTTGATCAGTTTGGAATGCCGGCGTTTGAAGTTCTCCATTGCATCTGCAGGTTTCTTCTCTCTTGTCAGGGAATAAGGATTTGGAAACAAAGAGCAAATGAAGAGCACAGTGCCGGAGATACCTTATCCAAATTTTAGTAACAGATTTGGCACAGCAAGGACCACTCTTTCCAATAAGCTCAAGCTTAGCTTGATGGAAACACTGTCCTAATGAGACAGAAATATTTGTTGTGATGGAGTCCTCTCCCAGAGGACATGTACTGAAACGCAGGCCAAAGTAATTTTATTATAGTTTTCTACTCCTTATCATCATCTTTGGTCCCTCTAGGAACAACGGAGAACATCAGGTGCCTGTGCTACACAGGGATGGGAGCATTCTAAGAGGCCTTTGAGAGACTTACCGCAATACAACTGTTTCTGAACTGACTGGTGGTTCCCTGTGTGCCTTGTGAGCTTCTTCCTCTGAAGCAACAGAAGGGATTTCTGCAAGACAATTAAAAAGTAAATACAGAAGTCAGACTTTAGAGTCAAGCTACAATCCTAATGATACACAAATAGCACTTACCTATACCTCACCTAAGTGGTGCGGTGGTCTCTGGTTGGAGTACAGATGCCCTCCTAAGTTTTATTTCTGGATAAGAAACTTTCTAGTTTTAATAATCCTTGACATGACTTACACTTTACATCCGCTACTTAGTCACATTTGCTTTTGATACCAACAATAAGGCAAACACTTTCAGAGATGACAGCTTCCATCTACAGTTGCCCAAGCAAAGACATTGCCTGTGGGCTCTATTTGGTGCTGCCTTTCCCCTTTCAGCAACTTGGGCAAGGCATTGGAGAATCAATGGACCCAAAGTCACTAATCATGTCTGAAAGTCTTTTGTGGATGCCAGGCCCCAGAAACTCTCAGTGACTTCTGAGGCAGAAGTGCTGGACATTTAAAAAAGTCACTCCTGTGAAGAGTCTTAGAAGGGATGTGGCCTGAGAATAAATGCCGTAATCCAATTCTCACACTGATGTACTACGTGAGTGTTCACAAACTGCTGTGTGAGTCAGCTTCTGTTTACATGAAATGGAGAAAAGTACAGATTTTTCTTTAGTTTTGTGAAGGGTTTAATTAAAAAGGGTGTATATATAAACTGTATACATATATGTAAAGTACATATGTAAAATTCATTGGAAGCAGGAGAAGGGAGCAAGTCCAAAGACTAAGCTGCAACTATGGGTCAGGGGAAAGATGGTAACGTTGCCTTGAATGTTTTAAAATTTGGAACCAAGAATTTACAGGTCGAATATATGAACAAATCTTGATTCAAGAGTTGCCAAACCATTTATATCACTCAACACTCCCCTTCTTTTCCTTTGTGCCAAAAATCCAGCATGTTGCGGAGCTTAGAAAACAAACTAGAGAAGAGCCAAGAAGAACCATTTATGTTTAAAGGTCATGCAAGATATAATAAAGAACAAACATTCATCCTGACAGTAAGTACTGTCTGAATGAACTGCATTACAGAAGATGCACGTTTTCCATTCATTACATCAATGATTTGGCTTCTGTGCAAGTTGGGACCTTGGATTTGGCAAATTTGCATTGTTATCTGTAATCTCAAATCCTATGTTCTCAGGAAGATCGTATCTTTCAGAAGGTCAAATTGTAACTGAAAGGTGTCAGTTGCAAAATAAAGGGAGGTAGCAAATAAACAAGGATTAAAACATGTCCTAACAGATATGGGCTACTGAGGGTGTGTGCACGCGTTTTTCTTACTGCTTGGAAATGGGCTGCTACAAGTGCAGGAAAACGCAACGGCCACGTGATGGCAGCAGAGATGATGAGCAGAGGCTCTGAACTGAGCCCTGCCACAAGACTCACTCCTGGAGGTAGGCCAAGATAGCTCGTGTAACTGAGTAGGGGTGACAGATCATTAAGTATGGAGAAGGGACAAGAAGAGCAACTGGATGCGAAGTTGAAGAGTGAGGGATGCAAAAAGCTAGATAAGCTCTCTGTTGCAGGTGTTAGTGTGAAATGAGGTGACCGAGCCTCAGAGTGCAGCCCCCCTTGGAGAAAAAGCAGGATGCACTGGTTACAGGGCAGCAGAAAGGGGAGAGCAGGAAGGAGGGAGCTTGGGGCAGGACAGCAATGGGGCTACATGGCTGGAGAGAGGAGTACTTCCAGAAAGGCATAAAAGCAATGCTGACTTCTCAGCTCTCTATCACTACCTCTTTAATGTAATCCTATGTTTTTGGTATCTGCAATAAATTTGGGCAGAGGAGAATGGAGAAGACTCACCCTGTAAGATGTCTGGTGGTACCGACATCCTCTTCAGGCCCTGCCGGTGCCAGTCCTTGCTTTTTACTCGACGCTTAATTAGGTGCTCTTGACTGGCTGCTGGCTCCTGTGCAACTACCCTGACCGTTTTTTTATCTGGCCAACTTGATGATTTTTCTAAGGGTGAATGTCTGGGCATTTCCTCCTTTGGCTGAGCTACCAAGTGGTGTTCTCTTCTTTCTCCTCCCAGCCTTTGCCTGACCCTCCTCCCACCTTCTGTTTTCTCTGTGATTGTCAATGGAGCTTGGATGTTCTTTGTATCCTCACCAAAGATGCCTGCCTGTTGCTCCCATCTCAGCTCCTCGAAGACCTCCTCTTCTTGGCAGGTTGTTCTGGTGGTTGGTGGTGATGGAGGGCTGAGCTGGAGGAAGTGGATTGGATTGGTGAATGCTAGCATTGGGAGTGGCTGTGTGGAGTCTCTACTCTTGGAGTCTGTGGATGTTATCAGGCCTTCCAGTGAGGGCCAAGAAGGGTGGTCAGGTGAGGATTTTTCACACTGTATATCCATTTGCTGGTCTACTGTTTCAGGGCTGGTGTCAGAGCTGCCAGCCAACACTTCATTTCCAAAAGCAGAAAAGCTTTTGGCCAACAAACTGACCCCTGAATCATCAGAAGTCTCTGTATCGTGGGTACCTGAGTCACCAAGATCCCACTCTCTAGTTACTGGAACAAAGTCACCTTTCTCTGCTACATCTTCTCTATCAGGAGCAGGGGCCACACTGTTAGAATCAGACACAGAGGCAACAGTTCGGAGAGGATGGCTTATAGTAGGGTGAATGGCTAGTAACTTATTATTGTCCATACCACAGTTGAGGTGTGGCCTGGAGAAGGATACAGGAGCCAGGGGCTGGTAACTTTCAAGGGCTGGAGGTTGAGCAAGGTGATCTGCAGTAAGTGCAGGAGTCTGAGCTTGACTAGGGCTTTTGACATGGGAAGGAGGATGAGGAAGACATTTGGCATCACGCTCAGACACCAGAGGTAGGCTTGAGTGGGACACAGGGGACAGAGATTGTTCTTGCTGGTTCACGGCAAGGACCGTATCTTCTTCAGAGGGCCAAGTTAGGATGCCAAGGACACTGGAAATTCTGGATCTAGGCTCTTTTTGGTTTAAACTGCAGTCAGGCTGATCAAGCAAAGGTATTTTTTGTGCTTCATGATCCACATTTGCTCTCATTTCTTTCTCTTGAATAATGGCACTTTTTTCTAAGGGGGTTTGCTGAATTGTCTCTGGGTGATTCAGGGGAGTGGAAGTCCTGCCTGGTGTTTGGGGTGGTTCCAGAAGCCCTGCAATGATAGCCACAGTCCTTCTATCCTCAGGAAGGCTTCCCTCTAGAAGACAGTTCATGTCTATTACAGAGAAAGAAGATGAGCCACTAAGGTCTTCATGAAAGCCTTCCTCAGAAGTAAGGAGTTCATGGGAAGCATTGGCCTCCTCTGGATCAGTACTTACAACAGCTGTTTCCCCCAGTGTTGTGTCCCGCACTCGTACAGAAGCAGCTTGGTGGGGTGGCTTCTCTACAGAGTCTGGCAGTCTGTTCAGGTTGGTGGCAGGACAGTCCTTAGGGGTCACAGAGGCTGTTCCACTAGCACCCTCTTGCTGTGGGCCAGATGTTGAAGCCACAGAGGTGAGTTCTGAGGGTAAAGCTGGAATGAAGTTCTGAAGCTCAGCTTTTCCCAAATTTTCTCTAACGGGATGAGGATCTATGGGATCAGGTGGCTCTTGGTTCTTGCTACCAGAGGAAGGATGTGCTGGAACACAAGCCTCTGGGTTCTCTGCGCTAGAAGGTGCTGTCACTCCTCCATGGCGTGGTGCATCTCTTTTATCAAACCTCTGGACAGCCTTTCTATGCCCATCACTGTGCTTATCCTCCCTGCCTAGTCTTGTCCTGTCATCCCAGTCAGCTTCTCCAATATCCTGGCCACCGATGGAAAAGCGGCCAGAGTCTTCTAGGTCTTCTGCCTGGTCAGAAACATAGCTTGTGTGTGGAGGTGCCACTGGAGTTTCACCCACTGGGTTGAGGTTATTTGAGGACAGAGGGCTGATAACGGGTGGCTGACATCCAGAACCTGCTTCTGTGACATGAGCTTTCAGCACTACATCTTCACTAGGACACTGATCCACAGAGACAAGTTCCTCAGAAGGAAATGCTGATCCTGTTTGCTCAGCCAGAAACACATTCTCTAACTCACATAAGCCCACATTCTGCCTGGGAACAGAAGATATCCCTGGTCTAAAAGATGATGACAGAGCCTCCAGTCTAAGCTCTTCCCTCTGCAGTTGTTGTTCCTGCTCATTTCGTTCCTTGTTTTTCCAGTCTTTAGGTTCCAAAGATTTTCCTTTTTCCAGCACATTCTGCTCTTTGCACTCTTTCTTCTCCTCTTCCTGCATTCAGACATTGCCGCCTCCTGTGTTGGTTCTTTATGCTGTGAAGTACACACTTCCTCCATTTTTTTAGCAGTATCCTTTACTTGGAAGGCACACTCTGCTGGAGAGGCACATCTACCCTCTGTTTTTCTATGATCATCTTCAAGATGCTGGCATTTGGAAGTGGATGAGTATTCTCCAGGAACCGTTACTGTTCCTTGGTCTTTGACCATGCTGCTATTACTTGTTTCACCACCTGAGATATTTCCTTCTGCTTGCAGTGTACTCATTTGGCTGTCATCTGTTAAGGTGGAAGACAACTGATGGAAAGAAGACAACTCTCTATTCTCTTCCAAACCCTGGAGTGCTCTTATGCTTTCCCTAGCATCTTTGGAAGTGTAAGGTTTAGTCATGTCCTCTACTTCTTCCTCTGAGGTAGGCTGCTCATCAGTTGCTGGTGCCACTTTTTTGCTGCTTTGCTTCTGCTCTGCACCAGCATCAACATCCTGCAAAGAACCTGTGGAGATCTTATCTAGAAATGGTTCAGCCTTATAATGCCCCTCTGAAACAGTTTTACACACCAAGAAGCACTTAGGTGTCTCTCTCTGAGAGGAAATGGCATTAGCCAAAGGATTTCTCAGATGCTGGGCCTGAGAGTCTGAGCTATGAAAAGACAGTTCTGCCTGGCACTGAGGAAACTCAGTGCTGAGGTCCACAACCTGCAGGATGGTGCTGCCGGGGGCAGGCTCATCCTGGTCTGTGCTGAGAGTGGAAGAGTCCTGGTTGCTTTCCAGGTCAACAAGATCTACTTGCTTAAGTTTCAGAGAACAATCCATTCCACCCTCCACTAAAAGCATTTCTCCTTCCAATTCTGAGAGTCCTTTTTGAGGCTCTGCATCACTTTGCTCTTGTCCCAGTCCTGCTGGCACTTTTTGCACAGGGTTAGATGGTCTGCCTAGCATCTCTGCTGCTTCCCCCAGAGCAGAAAGGCAGTCCTTGGGAGTGCTGAGCTCTGCTTCCTTTGCAGAGTCAGATGGGCTGGTGCTCATTTTGGCTGATGCTTGAGGTGCATGATGCTCTCTTTCTGCTGCAGAATCCCAGGCCTCCCCACTGGTGCTGCTGGCTTCTCGGGGAGAGGTACCTCCCTCACTGGTTTCTTCAGACTCCATCAGTGACACATCCTAGTAAAGGAAAAAACATTTTTCTGTTACTACTACAGAACGATACAGTGGATCTAATTGGCTTAAGAGACTTTTAAAAACATGTACTAATGGAGCTGAGGGAAAAAAAAACAAAACAAAACAAAACAAAATGACAAAAATACATACTTAGTGGGTGATAAGAGCTGGGAAACAAATACCAAGACTGAGGGTAAGCAAACACCAGATGTAAGCCTGCAGTATGAGAGTAGTGCCAAAATCAAACCACTAGTGTCTTTTTAGTTTTACATACAAATCCAGAAAGTGACTTCAGTCAAAAAGTAAAGATGCTGATCCTTCTGCAACAGCTGCAGTGCAACACAGGAAAAGCATTGGCCATGGCTAGCTATCTCAAACTTAAAAGGGGATACCAAAAGCCATTCAGAGAACAAGAAAATAATCAAAGTCTCCATTAATTTTTGTGGGGCATGGTGGAAAAATACTAATGACCTGTTCTAGTGGCTAGCTGAGTCTTAGAGATCTCTTTGACTTCAACAGGAAAAGGCCTGCGCTTCAGAGGTGATGGCTGTCTTTAGAGATCTCTGTGTACATATGTGCAACACAGGGCCTTATTGCAACCAATCACAGGAACTGATTAACAAGAAGTAGGAATGTAAGTTTGCTTAACAGATAACTAGGACATGACACAAGACACAAGATATGGACAGCTGTAAACCACACAGGTTAAGAGGAGCACCTCTGGTGGACACATCTACAGACTACAAAGAGAAACAAACTATCAGAATTTGGACTACCCTTTTAGTTAAAAAAAAAAAAAAATCATCTCAATTGTTGGAGAGTTTCCCAAAGGATATGGTGGAATTTCCCATCCATTACTGCATTTGAAGTTCAGACATGACAAAGCACTAGGGAATGTACATTTGGGATGTGTCCGTGGGGATGGTAGAATCTGATTCACTGTTTTTATCTTTCTGGCTTCTACCTATCCCATGACCCACAATCTCTACCTTAAAAGACAAACTTTAGTGGCTCCTCCCTTTTCTTCTGCTTTTGGGACACTTTCTCTAGTGTTCCAGCCTGTTCCTTATGCCCTGCTTATCAGAAATGGCTTATAAATTGCTGCTTCGGGCTGCTTCACATACACTGAGTACCCTTGCAGTCATGCCAGAGCTTGTAATTTAGCTCCGATGGTTCTGCTGCAATGTACAGCCACAGTCAGACTTCCCCCGACCAAAACTTCAGTGTTCTATTCCTTCATCCTATCTTACAGCTGTTGAAGTTTCCAGATACAAATGCATAATTGTGCATCTTTTGGTAAAAGAAACCATTCCATATTTCTTCAGGTAAAAGCTTGCTAGCTGTCTTGCTCAAAACAGACAATCAAATCTATACACTTCCTTCTCTGGCATTCCTAATTTCCCT